CCCCAAAACCCCAAAACCCCAAAACCCCATGATATAATGATATTGGATTTGCTTAAGTTAATAAAATAAAAATACGATTATAAATATACTTATTCTTATTTCTTGATCAATGAATAAAACTGAAAATATATGAGAAATTTCATGATTAGTAAGGTATTTTTTAAATATATTTTGGCGGATACCTTGCTCCTCTTTCAGAGCAAAGTTTACTTACACAAATTGAATAATCCATGGTCAAATTCTGTTTTAAAATCAATTTAACTTATATATGATAATATCAGTTATCAGAAAATTTTCATCAAAACACTATTATAATTCTAAAATCTTTAAATAATTAATGCAAAAGATAAGTTTGCTTATCAATCATGTCATAATTAGCGTATATAAATGCTTGTTTATGTCAATGAAGAAATCTTCAATAAAGAAAATAAAGCATGATTTATAAAGTTAGCTAAGAAGGTATTTTAAATATTCTTATAATTTATACGCTAGCTTATTAAAAATATTATCATAATTTAAGTGGATTTGTATCTAATTAAATATAAAATATTATACTTAATTGATTCCATAAGCAATTAATGCCTGAGAGTTAAAATGATAAATCAAAGCGATCTATATTGTTGGCAGAGGATTTAGATGAAGATGATCTCCTCCTTGCCAAGATGGGATACAAACAAGAGCTTTACAGAGGTTTCAATGCTTTCATGTCATTTTCATTTTGCTTCACAGCAGTTGCAGTGATTTCTAGTTGTTCAATACTGTTTCCGTATGGTTTGAAAACAGGTGGGCCAGTTGTCATGATGTGGGGATGGATGATTGGTTCTTTCTTTTCAATTCTTGTTGGCTTGTCAATGGCAGAAATCTGTTCTTCCTACCCTTCAGCTGGTAGTGTATATCACTGGGCTGGAATGCTTGCTAATCCTAAATGGGCTCCCTTCTCCTCCTATCTTTGCGGCTGGTTCAACTTTATGGGAAATGCCGCTGGTGACGCTAGCTTTGCTTTTGGATTCGCATAGGTTCTAAATGCTGCTATAACTTTAGCCACTAATGGTGATACCAATTTGCCTGTCTATGCTGAAGTCGGATTTGCTGTATTTATTTCCATGCTATGGGGAATCAAAAACAGAATGAGAGTAGATCATCAAGGATGGTTTAATAATGTATCAGCAGTCTATCAACTATTAAGCACCTTTATTGTCATCGTTACATTGTTGATAGCTTCTCCAAGTTTATCTAGCTCCAAATTTGTATGGACTGAGTTTAATAATGGCTCACAGCTACCCAGTGTTTCATATACTTGCTGCATAGGGCTTTTAATGTGCTTATTTGGATTCTCTGGATACGAAGGAGGCGCTCATATGGCTGAAGAAACCAAAAATGCTTCATCATCGGCACCTAGAGGAATTGTGTTGACTTGTATTGCTTCAGCATTGACTGGCTTATTTTATCTTGGGGGTTTGTTATACGCTTGCTAGGGTTAAATAGATGGGATTCTTGATGGGAAGAGTGAATAGGCAGTAGTCAATGTTTATTCTTTAGCTTTCACTGACAAAGATAATAAATTGAATCTAGCAGGAGCATTAGCAATGACTATAATGCTACTTATAAACTTATTCTTTGCTGGTTTCAGTAGCATGACTGTGACATCTAGGATTGGCTTTGCTATGGCCAGAGATGGAGCTTTTCCCTACTCTAAGAAACTCTATGTGATTAATCAAGAAACAAAGGCTCCAGACCGAATAATATTCCTAGTATTCTTAATTGACGTAGCCCTTTGCCTTTTACCCTTGATAAGTTAAACAGCTTTTCAAGCAATAACCAGTATTACTACAATAGGCTATCAAATATCCTATGCCATTCCTATAATGCTGAGACTAACAGTATCAAGAAATTCGTTCCAAAAGAGTTCTTTTCATTTGGGCCCTTTCTCTGAGGTAGTAGGTTGGACTGCTGTCATTTGGCTAATTATCACATCAATAATATTCTTGCTTCCTACAGAGTTTGACGAAAATAGTCACTAGACTGCATAAGGGTTCAACTACACTTGCGTTGTTGTGGGTGTCATCCTCATTATAGCTTTTATTTATTGGTTCCTACCAGCCCCTTATGGAGCTAAGCATTTCTTTGTAGGTCCTAAAAGAGAAAGTATTCTATCTAATTCCCTTTCGAAAACTTAAATTAAGTCGGTAATTTAAGTCACTGATGAAGATGAAAAAAAATCTTTAAAGGATGAAAGAGAAATTTCATTTGAGAAACCTTGAAATGATTCTATTATTTTATTTTTAAACAGATTTAATTCTTGCTTTTGAAATTTCTATTTTGTTTTAACTCTGCTGCCTTTTAATAGGAAATGCTGGGGTTTTGGGGTTTTGGGGTTTTGGGG